GAAAGTGTCTGTTTGATGTCTGATGAGAAACAGCCTTCAGAAGCCACTCAAGTAATTAGATCTCTAAATATTCATGTGGTCATTAAACTCTGAGCGGGTTTGCAGAATCTCTGACCGGCGGTGGCCGGAAAGGACGTCTGTCCTGCTGCTTTGGAAGAACATCCAAAAGTGACGCCAGAAACGCAGAAGAAACTTTTCCACTCAGAAACTGCTAATAAATTTAAACATGCTATATATATATATATATATATAGCATGCTGAAATAATGTGATTTATCTTCAATAATGTGATTTAAAATTCTTCTTGCTAATGCTAAAAATGACATTGTAAAGTACTGCATCATTTTTTTGAACTGCCTTCAATTATGCTGATTTAAATTAAATAATTTATGCATATTTTAATTAAAAATATTTTATATATAAGCATTATATTTTCACGATCTTTAATTGTTAAAAATTTGAAATGTAAAGTACTTATTACTATGTAAGCACGTTATTAAAGTATTTCTACATTATAGATTTTTTTAAGTATATTTTTTTTCAGTTATGCTGATTTAAATAAAAAATTAGGTAACGCTTTACAATAAGGTTCATTAGTTAACATTAGTTACTACTTTAGGTAACATGAACTAAGTATGAACAATACTTCTACAGCATTTATTAATCTTAATTAATGTTAATTTCAACATTTACTAATGCATTATTAGCATGAACTAACAATGAACGACTATTTTCATTAACTAACATTAACAAAGATTAATAAATACTGTAATAAATGTATTGTTCATTGTTTGTTCATGTTAGTTAATACATTAACTAACATTAACTAATGAACATTAACAAAGATTAATAAATACTGTAATAAATGTATTGTTCATTGTTTGTTCATGCTAGTTAATACATTAATGGAACCTTATTGTAAAGTGTTACCAAAAAATAATTTAATTTATGCTTATTTAATAGTTAATTTAAAATTAATTAATTTGTTTAAAAAAATTATTCTACTATGTATTTTTTCATAATTGAACTGCCTTCAATTATGCTGATTTAAATAAAAAAAATGAATTAATGCTTATTTAAATTAAAATATTTGCATTGTTTTTATTATATAATACAGTGTATCATATTATTTAATAAATGTTCTATTTTTGTGTTTTTTTTTTTTATTAAAAACAATACAACAAAAAAGTAACACAATTGTTCATTTTAGCTGATGCATTACTAATGTTACCGAATAAGAAAGTGTTTTACAATAACTTTCTTCCGGTTGTTGCGCGAGCAGAATCCCGTGACGTCAGACTGTTCAGTGAGACGTTCTTGTAAGCGATCTCCACTGTCATCTGCGTTTAATACGCCACACGCCGTTCCTGAAGGCCAAATTGAGGGCTTTCAGAAATCTAGTTAGCTTTGTTTACCAACCTTTCCATCAGTCCGAGCGTCCCGTCAGCAGACAGCATGTTACCAAGCACTGTCGACAGATGCACACATACATCAATACATCTGACCTTCTGTGTTTGACTGCATCTTCAGGAACGAGCATCTGCACACATCTGTTTGGTGGTTTTATATCTGCTGCACAATGAATTTCATTGCAAAATACACATAAGAAGCACTGATCTAGACGTAAGTCCTTGGGTTTGAGTTACAAATTATGATTGTCGCGAATAACAGTATTTGTGAGCTTCCCAGATCTTTTGTTGTTTATGTTAGAAGTCAAACTCTACAGTATTTTTGCGCAAATAAATCTGCCACATGATAATATTGGTAATTATTAATTTATGCTCATTTGCATTAAATATTTTTATTATTTATATATAAAACGAAATATACATTTATTTTACTTCAAATAAATTTAATGTGAATCAGCATGAATGAAGGCAAGTAAAAATACTAGGATGCAGAAGTATTTTAAAATGTATTTTTAACGAGAAATAAAGATGTACAGTAAAATACAATGTTTATATATATATATATATATAAAAAATACTATTATAAAATTATTTTAATTCAAATAAGCATAAATTAATATTTAAATCAGCATAATTGAAAGCAGTTAAAAAAAATATTAGGATGCAAAAGTACTTTACCGTGTAATTTTTAACAAGAAAAAAAGATATACAGTAAAAATACAATGTTTATATATAAAATACTATAATGCTATTTTTATTATTTTAAATAAGCTTACATTGTCAAAAATACAAGTACTTTATTTTTACAATAAATAAAAATATACAGTAAAAATGCAGTTTTATATCAAATACTATAATAAAATTATTTTCCTTCAAATAATCATAAATTAATTTAATTTTAATCAGCATAATTGAAGGTACTACTAACTATTAAAAATAAATTAACACTTATTTTATTAAATTATTTTATTATAGTGTTTTATATATAAACATTGTGTTTTTTACTGCACATCTTTCTTTCTGCAGTGTAATTGTAAGTGTATCATGTGCCGCAGCTTTTTTCACTCCGGTTTTGTAGGCTGTTCTTGGAACGTGAGGAATGTTTTCCAGACATTTTTCTGGTTGTGTTACGTGTTTGTTGCTTCATATGCTGTAAATGTGCTCTCTGAGGCTCTGTGTATTTACAGACCAAGCTGTTTTGCTCTGGCTCAGCTTCTCGACTCTGGAAATCCCGTCCGTCAGTGTCCGTCCTCTGGGATTTAACCACCCAACAGAAACAAGCGTCTGTCTTTTCTCTTCACGTGTGCTTGTGTTTCAAACACTGTTCATGAGCAAAAACTCAACAGATTTCAAGATACAGGAGAGCATTGTTAAGAGTACAAATAATAAAAACAACAATAATAGACGTTATTTTCTGTAGCACCTTTAAAAGTTACGTCTCAGCGCTTTATAAGAATAAAATAAAAATGTATTCAAATACAAAATGAAAACATTCTATCAAAATAATTTAATTAAAAAGAATTACATAAAAGCTATACCCTAAATAGTAATAATCTCTTGTATTAGAGAGTAATAATCATGTTGAATTGAATCATATTTGTTTGACTTCTAGATTCAGCAGTTCTCAGTGTGCAACCCAAACCTGAAGGAAAAAACAATGCATTTAACCATATAATCATAGTAAAATAACGAATTAACTAATGATTAATCTTTTTTTTTTGTTGATGTTAAAAGTCAAAATTTTTGCACAAATTCATGTGTCACATGGTAATATTGGTAATACTATCTTTATGCATTTAAATGCATGCATTAAAGGTTAAATGAATGCATTTACATTGCATTCAAGGTCTACATTTTATCAGTTGCTTGTGTTGCATGCATTCATCGAACCCACGACCTCCGGAGTCGCTCTACTGCTCGTTATTTTCTGTTGTTTATGCTTATACAACATGCAAAATGCAAAATATACATTAAGAAGCACTGATCTAGACGACTGTCCTTGGGTTTGAGTTACAAATAACGACTGTCGTGAATAAACAGCTTTGTGAGCTTCAGGCCTCACGCCGTTTTCTTTCCCAGATCTTTTGTTGTTGATTTTAAAAGGCAAACTCTACAGCATTTTAGCTCAAATTAACCTGTCACATTGTAATATTGGTAATGCTATCTTTATGCATTTAATAAAGGCATGCATTAAAGTTTAAATTTATGCATTTACATCGCATTCAAGGTCTACATTTTTTAGTTGCTTGTATTGCTTGCATTCACTGGAAATCAAACCCACAAACTTGGAGTCGCTATATTGTTTGTTTCCAGTTGTCTTTGTAATCTCAGTCCCTTTATTTTCTGTTGTTAATGCTTATACAACATTGCATATAATAATATCCTGTAGCTCATACGTGACACTGGCAGCACTGAGGTCATGGGTTTGATTCCCAGCCAATGCATGAACTTTATCTTGAATGCAGTGTATTTTGCTTAGGATAAAAGTGTCTGCCAAATGCATAAATGTAAATAATCATCTTGAATAGCAGTATTTGTGATCGCTAGGCCTCTTGCTATTTTGTATCAACTATAAAGTTTTATGATTATCTGATCCATGCATGTAAACAATATAAATCATGTACAGTAAAATAACACAATAGTCCGTCCTTCTGTCGTTCTGCAGACTAACATCTTTGATTTGCAGGATAAACGATAACTTCATCAGCTTTACAGAGATCCATTCATGCGTGAGACCCCTGCGGTTCTTTTAATCAGGCAGGTAAAGTCGTTCACACAAAGGTTAATGAATATCTCGCAGCGCATTGAAATGCTTTACAGTATGCTGACATTTGTTGCTCTTTTCCTTTTGTTTTTGTTTTTTCTCTATAAATGGAAAAGCGTGTGAAAATGGCTTCATTTTCATGCAGGACGAGTCGCTCGTATGCAGATTTGGGCACAGATGACATTTCAAAGCACTTATTTGTGCAAATCTTTGTTTTAGATGGTAAAGGTCACACACAGAGACCCACTTTCTTCATTTGAATAGAACATGAGGAAAACATGCAAAACTCGTCACCACACCAGAGCGGCAAACAGCCATTAGATATGTGTGTGTGTGTGTGTGTGTGTGT